GGGGGGATGGGTTAGCCGGGTGATGGGTATTAAGGAAGAGCACATGCTGCATGGAGCACTGGGTGTTGTACGAAAACAATGGATTGTGGATCACTACATCAAAAACTAATGCTGTAATGTATGGGGATTAACATAACAATAAAAATTTAAATTAAAAAAACTAATGATGTATTGTATGGTGACTAACATAACATAATAAAATCAAATCAAATCAAATAAATAAAATAAAATAAATAAAATAAAATATAACTACCATATCATCCAGCATTTACACTCTTAGGTATTTACCGAATTACCTAATTTGAAGGGATGCATCATTCCTGATGTTTACAGCAGCAGCAACAATAGCCAAATTATAGAAAGAGCCCAAACATCCATAGATTGATGAATGGAGAAAGAAATTTGATGGAATATTACTCAGCCAAAACAGGAATGAAATGTTGCCATTTGCAAGGACAGGATGGAGCTAGGGTACTATGCTAAGCGAAATAAGTCAGAGAAAGACAAATACCTTATGATTTCACTCATATGTGGAATTTAAGAAGCAAAACAAATGGACATGGGAAGGAAATAGAGAAAACCAAGAAGTGTTCAATCCTGAAGGACCTGGGACTGGGGCAAGCACATGAGGATTATGGCCCTCAGCAGGCCATGGTGGTTCCTACATTAGAGCTAAGGTGCTACATTCAGGTTAATGAAGCCAGGGTTCATGGCCCCGGGGACAGAACCCTCAGTGATGTTACCAGATGTCTGGAACTGTGCTTGGAATCCAATTCTGTGGAAGGCAGGGCAGAGATGCTGCAAGCACAAGGGTCAGTTAGCACAGGGATGGGTGTAAACCATCAGACACACTCAAAATGTGGAATCATGTAAGGGTGCTGGGTGGGTGCTGGTCATGATCTGATAGCTTTTATTTTTTAAAGATTTTTTTTATTTATTTGACAGAGAGAGAGATAAGGAGAGCAGGAACACAAGCAGGGGGAGTGGGAGAGGGAGAAGCAGGCTCCCCACTGAGCAGGGAGCCCGATGCCCAGCTCGATCCCAGGACCCTGGGATAATGACCTGAGCCAAAGGCAGACACTTAATGACTGATCCACCCAGGCACCCCATGATCTGACTATTTTAAATAGTTTTTCTCTATAAAAGTTTTCTAGGTTTGCAGTTTTGTCTTTGTTTTCCCCTTTACTTTCTTTTATTTTTTTTTTCATTTTTTTAAAAGCTACAAAAATGAACAAGTAGTCTCCAGGAATAGTGGCCTCTCATGCTTCTTTTGCTTTTTCCTTTGTAGACCTGGAGCCCGGGAGAGGTGGAAGGGCAAGAGGTTCTCTATAAACATTGGACTTGGGGTGAGTCAGGGGCTGGTATTTAGCAAAGCCAGGAGTCCCAAGGTGAAGTACATGTCCCTCCAGCCACAGGCTTTGGGAGATTCAGCGTGTGCTCCCCAACCCCATCACAGAAAAAGACAATGGTTAAAACCAGAACAGATGACCAGGAAGGGGTTACCATGGCCATTCCCAGCACCAGCATCTGAACCAAGGGCTGACTTGAAACAGAGAGACCTGTATCAGCTCCTCTCCTGAGTCTCTGGAGTTGAGGGAAGGGTTGAGGACCCATAAACAGAAAGAAGAAAGGGGGAAGGTGGCCAATGTGGGTTGGGGCCACTTGGGGAGCCTAGTCCTCTTGCCCCCATTTTCCTCAGGGGTTGTGGGAGCAGAGTTGGTGCTGTCTCATCTTGTGAGAGCCCACTGGCCCTCAGAAGAGGCTGCAGTCCTTCAAGTTGTTCTTGATGATGAAGCTGGTGAGAGCATCAAACACCAACTGCATGTTCTTGGTGTCAGTAGTCCAGGTGAGGTGTGTATAGATCACCTTGGTATCCTTGCACTTGTTCAGTTCCTCAGACTTATTCTGGATGTAGCTGCCTGCTTAGTCATACTTGTTGGCCCCTAGCCTCATCTGTGAAGGAGGGGTTGGCAAAGTTAATCTGCAGATTGCCCAAAGCTTTGACAATGGCCATGATGGACTAGATGGTGTTGATGTAGAGGACTGCATGGTATTGCCAACATTACTTTTTTTTTTTTTAAAGATTTTATTTATTTGAGAGAGAGAGAATGAGAGAGACAGAGAGCATGAGAGGGAGGAGGGTCAGAGGGAGAAGCAGACTCCCTGCCGAGCAGGGAGCCCAATGCGGGACTCGATCCCGGGACTCCAGGATCATGACCTGAGCCGAAGGCAGTCGCTTAACCGACTGAGCTACCCAGGCGCCCCTGCCAGCATTACTCTTGTGAGTAGCTATCCTCATGGATGATCTTCATCTGTTTGACAATGGTTCTCTTCCCTGACTCCTTAGCACCCAAAAGCAGCAACTTCAGCTCCCGTGCCACCTTCTTGCTGTCATTCTGAATGTTTTTGTTGATTATCTTTGAGTGCTGGACCACCACCTTGTCCTTGGCACTCATGGTGCGGCCCGTCCTACCATATTCTGCTAGCTTTCCCCAACACACTGGGCTCCCTCCACACACAGGTAGCTCTACAGTTGGCAGTAGATAATCTTCATATACTGAGTCTCAACAACAAATACCACATAGGAATTAAACACTTTCCTAGTTGAAGAAACACAAGTAATTAAATGTTTTAAACTAATTTAAGAAGTAATAAAATTAAGTCTAATTTTAATAAGCTATTAAAAATCCAAATTAATAATACTAAAGCTAAATATTAAAAATATCTAATTTTATTTATTTATTTATTTGTTTATATAGATAGATATTTTTCATATAAAATAAAAATGGTAGTGGATAAAATCTAGTGGATAAAGAGTAAAAGAATCTGAATTATTCTGCAAAATTATAAATATTTTGATATATGTCTGATTTTTAAATTATTTTTTACCCTTAATTAAGACCTTTAGTTTCAGAGTCTGCACATCTATTCTAAAGAAATTCTCATTTAAGAGATACTCAAGAAGACAAGTATTTAATGCTTTTGTTAAATTTCTGTTTATTCTGTAGCAAAATTTCACAAATTCTGTGGTTTAATAGCATGTTTTGTTTTAAAGTGCTGTAATTTAGAAATCCAACACCAACCACACTGGGATAAAATAAGGATGTGGTTGGTATGGCTGCATTCTTTTCTTGGGTCTCCAGTGAACTATCTGTTCCTGCATTTTCCAGTCTCCAGAGGCTGCCTCTGTCTATATATTGGCTCATGACCACCTTCCATCTACAAATCCAACAATGGAAGACCACACTTCCATAGACACATCTCCCTCTAACAAGTCTGGAAATATCCCACTTTTGATTAGATTAGGGCTCCTTGGATAGCCTAAGATAAGCACCTCATCTCATGCTCATTAATTGAATTACATCTTCTGAGTTCCTGTATGTCATGTAAAGTAATCTATTCACATATTCAAAAAAAGTAGTACATGGACATCTTCAGTAAGCCATCTGAAAAACTGTCGTAGTGTTTCTGAAACAATTTACATGCACAGATACTAGGTAATGAATATGCAATTCTTGGAGGTTCTGAGTTAATGAATGTTTATTAATAAGCATGAATATGTCAACTTTATCCTAGCACTTTTAAATAAAGTGAATATTTTATTATATAGGATATCGATGTCCACCCTAGATTATAAGATACATATATATATGGAATTTAGCTTTATATATTCTAGTTTTATTGTTTTTCCCCATAGAATGTATAATGACTTAGTTTCCATAGAAACCTCTTCACAGCTGCTTTGATTTCCTTGTTCCTTAGGCTGTATATTATGGGGTTCAAAGATGGAGGCAACACAGAATAGAACACAGACACCAAAAAATCCACAAGATGTGGAGAATCAGGGACTGGCTTCAGATAGGCAATGGTGCCTGTCACAGTAAATGTTGTTACAACTATGACATGTGGTGTGCAAGTGGAAAAGGCTTTTGACCACCCTTGGAATGATGGCATTCTCAGCACTGTACTGAAAATGTACATATATGAAAAGCCAATGGACACTAAACAGAAAAGTGCATACATAACCCCAATTGCCTCACTAATATCAATGATGACATAAGACTTTGATCAAGAGATCTTCAGTAGGGAGGGGACATCACAGAAAAACTGAGGAAATTTTCTGGAGCCACAGAAAGATAAAGAGAAAGTACCAGCTGAATATAAGACCCCAAAGATACTCCCAAGAGACCAGGAGGCAGCTGTCATCCTCACACAGACTCTCCTGTTCATGCTGACATCATAGTGCAGTGGGTGACTGATGGCCACATAGCGGTCATAGGACATGGCAGTTAGAAGGAAAAGCTCAGACCCAGAAAAGTGAATGACTAACATTACCTGTAATATGCATCCCGAGAAAGAAATGGTGTCACTGTGGGATAAAGAGTTCAGGATAATTTTGGAAGTGTGATGGAAAAGAGGCAGGCATCAAAAAGTGATAAATTCTTCAGGAAGAAGTACATGAGGGTGTGAAGACAATAATCCAGAGCAATCAGGACAATAATGAGATTTCCCATAAGAGTCACCAGGTAAATAAGCAAAAACAGAAAGCCATGTAAAACCTGGAGCTCTCTGGTGTCAGAGAATACCATGAGGAAGAATTCCATCCCTGCTGACTGGTTGGTCACATTTTCCAGTCTATGTTGGACAAAGGAGAGTAAAGACAACATCAGGTTCTTGTTAAGTCTTTCTCCTTTCCAAGAATGTTTTTATGTAAGAATTCATCTATTTTGTGTTTATAAGACATGCACATTTTTACTCCCTCAACATGCATGTTAGGGTTTATGACTTCTTCACTATGCCACTCCTAATATGTGTCTGAATTCGATGTATGTTAAGTGAGCAGATCAGGAAGACTAGGAAGAAAGAATAGGAAAAGCCTTTCATTTATGAGTCTTTGGTATGTTTATGATGAAACATGTACCTTTATAAAATATAACCTGAAGTATTAGTTCAGTACTCTAAATAAAATCTTAAGTACACTGAATAAATTTTCAAATCATTTCAAATAATAGAAGGTAGTCACTGAATATTTTTGTAAAAGAGTTTGGTCTTAGATACATTACCTTTATCTACAAGAAGTAAGTAAAAATTTTCATTTCATTATATGATTAAAGACATTACACTAAAGAATAAAAATGAAATGTATAACAGAAAGGAGATGCAAAAATGTGGACAGAGAATTAATAAATATGGACTTATATCATTACCATGAAAAAAGTAATAGTTATAGATGAAAAAAGAGAGAAGGATATGGAATATGGGGGAAAGGTCCACCTTTCCTACCCAGTGGCTGCTCATACATCTACTCTCCCACATGTGTTCATGCACGCTCACACAATCTTGTACACACATTCATTTCCAGGCTATATATCCAATGTTTTCTGGGTCAAGATAGGAACAAACTTTAGAGAAAAGTGGTTGAGAATAAAGTGAAAATGATAAATATAAACAGAACAATGAGGAATAGCATCACTGGCAGAAATGCTTCCTTCAATGATAAGTTATAGTATCTTTGAAAAATAACATGTAGGAAATATAAAAGCTATACAGAATAATTAATAATTACTAATGCTTATTAATAATTAATTAATATTTACTAATATACAAGAAATTTAGCTGTAGACAATTTGTCATTTTCTACACAATGTCAATTTTTACTAATTCTTAAAAGAGGAGGATCTCAACTGAATTCTATCCAATATGTCAAGCCTTCTCAAATTATTTTTTTTTATTTTATTTTAAAGATTTTTATTTATTTATGTGACAGAGAGAGACACAGCAAAAGAGGGACCACAAGCAGGGGGAGTGGGAGAGGGAGAAGCAGGCTCCTCGCTGAGCAGGGAGCCTGATGGGGGCTTGATCCCAGGATCTTGGGATCATGATCTGAGCCGAAGGCAGACGCTTAACTGACTGAGCCACCCAGGCACCCTGTCTTCTCAAATTCTTGAAAGAGAGGAGTAAACAACCATTCTAGATGAGACAGTAGCACATTTAGAAGGCTCATATTATAATTGTGGCATCAATATGAATGTTAGAAAATTGACTTATAGTTCAAACCAAGAAGGCTATCAAGGCATTTAGTAATTTATGTCCTCATGTAAGGATTACTATATTTTAATTTATTTTTATTTTATTGAGACATATAAATATATTATGACTGCATATATCATAACTGTAGAATTTGATGTAAAGACTAATTTCAACTAATATGTCTTATGGATGATTTCCTTGAAGCTGATGAAGAGTTGAGATTGAAGGAGTCAAGTGTCTGCTCTGGTGTTTGGCAAAGCAGCGAAACCTGAAGATTTTCACTGTAATATTAATCGAGTGACTCTTTGCCAGCCAGACTGCATTGTTGAGTAAGAGGTTAGTAAGTTTTTACAATATCTTCAAGAAATACAGTATCATTTTATAATTACTTTATGGAATTCCCCTAAAAGTCAGAACTTTGCACATTTTTTAAAAAAATTGCCCTGGAACTATCTTCTGAGACAACACATTTGGAATCTGAATTTTTGTGATATAGACAAAAAATATTTTTCTAATGTGTCTTTAAATGTCTTGTTTGTCACCCATATTGCAATGACTAAAAATGAAATGCAATTGACAAAAGTTAAAGGAAAGCATGAAGTCAGGATGGAATAATTGAAACAGGACCAAAGAATACATTTTTCCAACAAGCACTGTAATTAACTTATTTTCTCATTGAGGACATTTGTTTTTTACTCTCTGATCCTAGTCCTTTCCACCACAAAATGGAGAGATTGGATTTATGTTTCCAGTGAAACTTTCATCTCTAAACTGGGTTTATTGCTTATAGTACATAATAATATTAATCAAATTCAAGGGTGTGCCAGGCTTTATCTTATTACTTTGAGTATTATAGTTTGATCCTATTTGCACCCTACATCAACATACTCCATTAAATACTGGTGTTATCACCATATTGTACAAGATAATATAGGCTTAGGGAGTTTTAAAAATTCAATGAAATAGATTTCTCTCTTTGCTATGTAGTTTTGTTTTAAATTACTATGTTTTACTCTCTATATAATTGAACCATCAGTGTTGTTTTTTTTTTTTTAGATCTGAGATTTCTGGTGAAGATGCTTAATGAGGTTTTCTTTGTGTTATTATAAATATGATTTAAATTTAGTTTCATGCCCATGTTAAGAAGATAATACATACCTTTGATTCTTAATGATGTCCATTGGGATAATCATTTTTATGGAGACTGGATCAGACATAACTCCTCATAGGTAGTGCTCTGTAGACAAAGTTCATGACCCTTATTATGGTGGCTTCCTGTCTAATTCAGGTCATTTTGAAGCAATTAAAGTATATACTTCAAAGTAAATGTATACATACATATATATGCATATACATAAATACTCTACTTGCATGAATAGCTACTTATTGAAATCCAAGTTTTCATAGAGAAAAACATTTTTTGTACCTTTCTGTTCATATGTAGCCCATAAAGGATTTTTCACCCATTTATGTTCCTACAAATTTATGAATTCCTGGGGTTCATCTTACCTGCTATGATTCAAAATTCTAGGTTTCTGTTGATTCCCAATGTCTTCCTTTTCTTGATAGTTTTTCTGCTGTTCATACTATGAGGGAGAAATTAATGATGATCATCTTGTCTGAAGTCTTCCTCTTATATTTTCAAAGAGCATAAAATACTTTTCAATTTGTTGTGTATCACCCTTTGGGAAAACTATGGATCTACAGAGAAGCAAGAGTCCCTTCAGGACTATGAGTGTATTTCTGTATGAAAACATATTAACTGGGATTAATCAGTGGCATTTAGCCCTGGCATGAATATCTAACACCTCATACTCTTGCTTTTGAGAGATGTCTTTTCCCAGGTCATTGGAAATATACTACTGGGCCTCTGCAAGTAGGAAAAACAACAGATAGAGTCCAGTGCACTTTATTTAACATTAGATTTTAATCAAGAGGGAATGGGGCGCCTGGGTGGCTCAGTCAGTTAAGCGACTGCCTTCGGCTCAGGTCATGATCCTGGAGTCCCAGGATCGAGTCCCGCATCAGGCTCCCTGCTCAGCGGGGAGTCTGCTTCTCCCTCTGACCCTCCTCCCTCGCGTGCTCTCTGTCTCTCATTCTCTCTCACAAATAAATGAATAAAATCTTTAAAAAAAATAAGAAAAAAAAGAGGGAATGAATTTATATGTTCTAAATTATATGACAAGCTAAATATTAAGCTTCTATATGTTTTTGAGGGTGCAAAGAAATTAGGTTTTAATTAGTTTTGTTTATGATCTATATTTATAGTACTGTGTATTGTTTTCTCCACACTTGTAAAATCTGCTTTGATTTAAAATATTTCTTAAACTTGAACATTTGTGATACAGATATAATAATTTCTCTAATGATTTTGCTGATGTCCTAATTGTGACAGTATTAAAATGTATAAAAACTAAATGTACTTGATAAAAATTGAAGGGAAACATGGAGTCAGGATTATATAATTGAAACAGACACAAATATACCATTTTTTCAATAAGCATTATAATCAATGTGCTTAGCTTAGTACGTTTCCTTTCACTCTCTGGCCCTAGTTCTTTCCATTATAAAATGAAGTCATTGAATGTCATGAATTCTAAGAAAATTTTATTTATAAACTGGATTTATCACTTAAATACATAGTTATATTGGTCAAACTTAAATATGTGCCAGGCAGTCCTCTGAGTACATTGAATGGTATACTCAGTCCCATTTCTACCCCACAATAACACTTTCAACTAGGTGATACCATTATTAACATATATATACAATATATACTCCCTGAAACTTCCTTCCCAGTATTAATAAGCATCACCTTCCACCCTCATCCAGATGTTAATAGAGATCAAACAGAGAATGAAGGTTTCTATTTTCAGCCATCAAGAACAAGGAACCATGAGAGACGATGGACTCTGAAAAACAAACTGAGGGTTCTAGAGGGGAGGGGGTGGGAGGATGGGTTAGCCTGGTGATGGGTATTAAGGAGGGCACGTTCTGCATGGAGCACTGGGTGTTATGCACAAACAATGAATCACGGAACACTACATCTAAAACTAATGATGTAATGTATGGTGATTAACATAACATAATAATAATAATAAAAGAACAAGGTAGCCATTTTACCCAACAGACCAATAGCAGAGGAGTTCTGCTAAAACACAAGATTTACAGAAGACACATGTATCTTATACTATTATAATTTAGATGTCCAGTTTTAAAAGAACAACTCACTCCTCATACCAATAACAATGAAAATCCCCAAACTGAGAAAAGACAATAAAGAGTTGTCAACAATAAAATGATGGAAATGTTAGAATTATGTGACAAAGTACTTAACTCAGTCACCAGAAAAATGATTGAAAAACAAATTATAAATATGCTTGAAACAAATGAAAACATAGAAACCTTCTGCAATAAAAAATGTTCAGAAACATATAGATGATAAAAAAAATCAAAATTTAATAACTAAGGGGAGCCTGGGTGGCTCAGTTGGTTAGGCATCAAACTCCTGATTTCAACTGAGGTCAGGGTCTCAGGGTCATGAGATTCAGTCCCACCTTGGGCTCTGCTCTCAGCACTGAGTTTGCTTAAGATCTTTCTCTCCCTTCCTCTTTCCCTCTCCCTGCTTATATCCTTTCTCTCTCTCTCCTTCTCTCTTTCAAATAATAAATAAATAAATAATAAATAAACTTTTTTTAATTAAATTTTTGCAGTATGTTGTAGTATTTTGAGTTAAAATCCATCTCTATGTATTATCTATCTACCTATCATGTATCTATCATCTATCTATCATATATCTCTATGATTCTGTCATATTTATATCTATATATAAAGTGAATAAATATGTTTTCATTAACACTAAAAGTCAAGAAGATATAATAAAATTATGACATTTGAATTGATTGGTATGAAGCACTGTTATATAGATCTACTTAGAGGGTGCATATAATTATTGCTTTAAAATCTTATTAATACCAGGGGCACCTGGGAATCTCAGTTGGTTGAGCATCTACGTTTGGCTTGGGTCATCATCCCAAGGTCCTGGGATTCAGCCCCTTGTTGGGCTCCCTGCTTAGTGCAAGTCTACTTCTCCATCTCCCTCTTCTTTTACCCCCTCTCATGTTCTCTCTCATGTGCTCTCATGCTCTTTCTCAAATAAATAGATAAAATGTTTAAAAAATATAAAAGTGTATCAATACCAAAGGCTGAATATTATTGACCTTCATCTCAGCAATAAAGAATACTTTTAGTTTCAAAGGAAAATTATAAATGTAAGAACGGAAAATAATTAACTGGGAAAACAGAAATAACATAAAGAAAAATTTAAAAGCCAATGAGCACTGGGTCTTATATGCAAAATTAAACAAATTAATTTATTTTTATAAATAAATTTTTTAAAAATTAAATAAATAAATATAAATAAAAAGCAATGACTTGAAAACAGTAAAAAACATAATAAAACTTTGGCAAAACTAGGCAAGATTAAAAATGAGAGCAACACATAAGAATTCTCTTATTCTATTTTTAAGATATTGCATTGTCGTCACATCTTGATTCCTATATATAGGGGTATATGTTTCTCTCATTTTTAATATTTATGAGTTTTGCCAAAGTTTTATGATGAGCACTGGGTGTTATAAACAACTAATGGATCACTGAACATTACATCAAAAACTAATGATGTACTATATGCTGTAGGCTGGCTAACAACATAATAAAGAAAAAGGAAAGAAAGAAAGAAAAAAGAATATTCATGTGTTATCACTATGATGGAAAAAATTCAATTTAGCAACTCGGCCATTTATTTACTGTTATGTTGTTATGTTATGTTATGTTGTTATAAATCTGGGACCACAAAAAAAGAGAATGTTACAAAAATATTAGTAAATAGGATTATCAAAGTAAACTAGTAAGTCTGACCTCCCTAAAAAATGACATAATATTAAGATACAGGAAATTTAGGTTGTGATACAACTTTTAATTAAACAGAAATCAGAGATTATATACTGTATATATTTAGTAAAGCCTAACAAATTACCATAAACTAATGGCTTAGACCACAAATATATAAAATCATAAATAAGTGTTTTCCATGGGTTAGAAGTGTGCACACAGCTTAGTTATGTCCTATGCTCCAGGTTTCACAAGGCTGAACTCAACGTATTGGCCAGGCTGAGTTCCCATTTGTAGCCCAGGATCCTCTTCCAAAACTATGTTGCTGTTAGCAGATTTATTTCCTTGCAGGTGTAGAATGCATGTTGGCTTACTTCTTCAGAGTCAGCACCAGAATTTCTTTATTTTCAAAAATAATGCCAATCCACAAGTTCTAATCAATACTGTAGTATGAAGAGCTATGAAGTAAGGCAAGCAGAAGAATAAAAGACATAACTGGAAATTTTAAAAAAGAAAATTTTTATTTCTGTCAGTTATATTTGGAGATGTGGAAAATTATATACTTATGAATAA